ACAAGAAATTGACAAACACAACTGAGTTAGAGACAGTTCAAACTGACAAATTTCAGAATGTAGAAGGTCTGACTGACACAAATTACTTGACCTGATGGACAAATGCATATAATTGCAATTAGAGAATATAAATATTTACAAAAATTGACAATGTATTGTGTCATAAAGCATAATTTTTATCATCTGAACCACATTTTCTTGGGGGCGGGTACCAGGGATTGAACTCAGGGGCACTCAACCACTGAGCCACATCCCCAGCCCTTTTTTTTTTTTCGTATTTTATTTAGAGACAGCATCTCACTGAGTTGCTTAGCACCTGGCTGTTGCTGAGGCTGGCTTTGAACTTGTGATCTTCATGTCTCAGCCTCCTGAGCACTGGGATTACAGGTGTGCACCTCCGCACCCAGCTTGAACCATGTTTTCTGACCACTATGTACTTAAGTTAATAATAAAAAAGGATTATAGAGGGGCCTAGGCTGGGGCTTAGCGGTAGTGCACTTGCCTGGCATGTATGAGGCACTGGGTTCAATTCTCAGTACTGCGTATAAATAAATAAAATAAAGGTCTATCAACAACTAAAAAATAAAAAAAGAGGAACATAGAAACCTGAATATATTTAGGGATTAAAGAATATTTCTAGGGGCTGGGATTGTGGCTCAGCGGTAGAGTGCTCGCCTAGTACATGCAAAGCCCTGGGTTCGATCCTCAGCACCACATAAAAATAAATAAAATAAAGGTATTGTGTCCAACTACAACTAAAAAATAAATATTAAAAAAAAGAATACATTTCTAGGTGGACATGGTGGCACACTCCTAGCTACTTGGAAACCTGACATGGGAGGGTCACAAGTTTGAGGCCATCATGGGCAACTTAGTGAGACTCTGTCTCTGCGAGGTCCTGGGTTCAATCCCTAGCATCACAATTGGGATATATTTTCAACTAAATAAGACAAATAATATGTACTTAAATTTGTGGAACTCAACCAAAATAGTACTTAGAAGGAATTTTATTATCTTGCTTAAATGGTTGTGATAGAAAATAATGGTGAAAATTGATGAACTGAAAATATAATTCAAGAAGTTAAAAAATTAAAAATAAACCCAAAAAAATAGACCAAAAAAAGAAAGGCAAGTAATGATAAAGGGCAGAAATTAATAAAATAGAAAACAAGAGGTTTAAAACAGCTAATAGCTGGGCTTTGAAAAGAGTACAAAAATTGGGAAAACCCTCCACAGACTGATGATGAGTTAAAAGAACAGAGAAATTACAGGTACATATTATTATTATTACTATTATTATTAGGTACTGGGGATTGAACTCAGGGCACATCCCTTTTTTTTTCAGGGGCACTTGACCACTGAGCCATATCCCTTTTATTTAGAGACAGGGTCTCACTGAGTTACTTAGCGCCTTGCAGTTGCTGAGGCTGGCTTTGAACTTGAGATCCTCCTGTCTCAGCCTCCCGAGTTGCTGGGATTATAGGTATGCACCACCACACCAGCTCAAGTACATATTATTTTAACGTGAGTTCTCATTCTTTTTGCAGTGAAGCAAGTGCTTATTTCCTTAGGCCTGTTTGCAAGTCTCCTCCAGGGAGGAAATCCAGCCAAGGAAAATATTACAGGACATAGGTTCTGCAAACACAATTTGGCTTCCAATTATTTCATACCAGTGTTAGAGAAGCAACAATGATGCTGAAGATTGAAACTGATTTATAGAAAAAAATGTGGTAAAGTATTATACAGTTTATAGATTTCAGGCACTGCACAATATTCTTGATTCAGTAATGTCCTTCCACACCAAAAGATGGAAAGAGAGGCATGTTTCAAAAGACAGGCAAAATAAATCAGAAAATGTTAGACTCTGGGTCAGTGGAGAAATAGTAACACACAGGTGAGCACTCTCCTGACTTTAGAAGAAAAGGAAAAATATCAATGAACTAAGATTACCCTGCCTGTTTTTTTTTAAGTAAATTATGTAAAACTTTAAAAACTACATTAATTCTGGGGCTGGGGCTGTAGCTGAGTGGTAGAGCACTTGCCTAGCACATGTGAGACACTGGATTTGATTCTCAGCACCACATTAAAAAAATAAATAAAGGTATTGTGTCTATCTACAACTAAAAAATAAATTTAAGTTTAAAAAGACTACATTAATTCTTTTTTTGTGTGTGGTGCTAGGGGTTAAACCTAGGGCCTTGGGCATGTGAGACAAGCACTTTACAAACTGAGCTACTATCTCTCCAGCCCCAAACTACATTAATTCTAACTTTAAAAACTAGATGATGTAGCTTTCTATTTATCAGGAAAAAGATGGCCCAAAATACTTTGATATTCTTAAAATATTTTTTTAGTTGTAAATGGACATAATACTCTTTATTTTATCTATTTATTTTTTATGTGGTTCTCAGGATCAAACCCAGTGTCTCACACATGGTAGGCAAGCACTTGATATTCTTTTTAAAAAAAAAAAAAAAACAAACATTTATTTTTTAGTTGTAGTTGAACACAATACTTTTATTTATTTATTTTTATGTGGTGCTTGAGGATTGAACCCAGGGCCTCTCACATGCTAGGTGAGCACTCTACTGCTGAGCTATAACCCCAGCACTTGATCTTCTTTATAAGAAATGAATATAACATTGATCTAAACACTGAAAAGGTTGATAAACTATAAACCAATTTCACTTTGAATTCTAATGTGAAATTTTAAAGCGTTGACAGGCAGAATCCAGTATCATACTAAGGAATAATGTATCATATCCAAGTGAGCTTCATTCCAAATGCAAAGACCACCACTAGAAAACATGCAAACCAAAACTGAACATGTAATATAAAATCATGGGAGAAATCTAAAAATACAGAACTGACCTTTAACAAAATTCCTACACATTTTGAGGGGAAAAGAAACAATAGATAGGAATAAGTGTACGTTTCCTTAACAGGATACAATATCTTCATTTCAATCCAAAAGCCAGCACTACACATTAAAGCCAGGAAAAAGACAGGGTACCTTCTCACCTATTTTTATTTATACTGAGTTGGAGCTTCTAGCCAAAGCAAGTCTACAACAGAAAGGAATAATGATTATTAAAAATTAGAAAGGATGAGATGAAACTATTACCCTGTTAAAGATATGACTGTATAACAAAGAAAAATATAAACAATAAGAACACATAAAGTTTAATAGAGCACCACAAAATAAATGAAGAAAAAAATCAGCAGCATTCAGTTTAGAAATGGCAAAACTTCATTCACAATAGCTATAAACCAACCACCAATCTTGGGATATACTTAAAAAAAAAATGGGCAAGACCTATAGAAGGAAACATTAAAAACAAATCTTGGGACATGAAAAGTACATGAACAAATGAACACTTACCACGTTAGTGGAGAGAAAGACATTAATTTTCACATTAAAGTATATAAATTGAATGTAACCCAAATATAAATAGCATCAGCTTTTGTAAAATCTAGAAGTCAAGTTGATCCTCAAGTTCCATGATAGCCAGAAAAACTTTGGAAAAGAAGTGCAATGAGGGTGGAATAGCACTCCTAGAACCTAAAACATTCCAAACAATTTTAATGTTAACATTTAAAACCAAAGTATCCTGCAGGGCACAGTGGCAAACGACTGTAGTCCCAGCAGCTTGGGAGACTGAGGCAAGAGGACTACAAGTTCAAAGCCAGCCTCAGCAATTTAGGGAGGCCCTAAGCAACTTGGCAAGACCCTGTCTCTAAATTAAATATAAAAAGGAGGCTGGGGAAACACCTCTGTGGTAAAGGACCCCTGAGTTCAATCCCCAGTACCAAAAGCAACAACAGAAACAAACAAAACGAAAAACCAAAGTATTCCTTCATAATCCAGGAGTGGCAAAGCCTTTCTAACTATAACTCAAGCTCTAGAAGCCCCTTTTCTAGAAGAAAAACTGAATATATCTAGGTACATTAAAACAGTTTTATGCATGGAAAAAGGATCAAAAGCAATTAAAACAGAGAAAATGTATTTCCATCTCATACCACAAGGGGCTAATTTCTTTAGTGACTGATAAACAAATAGTCTTGCAAGGCATAAAAAATGAGTAAACATATGGACAGAGTTCACAGAGAAGCAACAAATGGCTCTTACACACTGAGACCACATATCTGCCCTCACAGCTAGAGAAATGCAAATTGAAAAGACAGAGAGGAATGATTTTTTCACTGTCAGATTCTCCCAAAGCCAGATCTGAATGGCCAGGCTGTGGAGTAATCACCAGTAATCACAGTCATCACCAGCTGAAGGGAAGGTAAACTGGGAGAGCCCCAAGGAGGGGCTCTGGTAGTACTTGTTAAAATTCCCAAAGCATATGCCCTTGAATCAAGAGCTTCCACTTACAGAAGTCTACTCTATGGAAAAACAAGTAAACACATAGAAATACGCAGAAAATATCAAAACATTTTGGAAACAACCAAGATGTCCAAAAGATTAGTTCACTAGATTGAGATACAGCCTTACATTATAGTTGCTTAAAAAATAAAGAAAAAATATCTCCAACATAAGTGGATAAAAAATCAAGATGCTGATAGAGGCATGTAATAATATGCTACCTTGTCATATTCTACCTTGATTTTTAAAAGGGAAACAAGCAGAATATCTAGATTGATATTAATTTGTGTATATGGTAGGAAATTGTTGAAGGCATAAGTTAAAAAACAAACAAAAAATAAAACCAACCAACCAAAACCAAAAAACCTAAACAACTGATAACCTATTAGGAATAGTTTTCAATTATCCTGTCTAGAGGTTGATCGGGCTAACTTCTCACAACATATCTCTTGATACTTTTTTTGAGTCTTGTAAATAGATACACATACTAGAATAAAAACAGTTTAAACATTAACAAAAGCAAATCTATTCCCAAACCTACCCCAATTTTGCATGGTCTTGAAAATATGTTAATCTCACAATGAATACGTGTTTTTTTTTTTGCATCTGAATATTTACTATTCATCTAAAGTACTTCAAAAGACACAAAATTAAGATCTGAAGGCTGACAGATGACCACAAATTCTGAAATTCCCAAGTTCTTTCAATAGCCTTCCAAGCCTCATGACTAAAGATTCCCTAACTGTATCTGCTTAAATTCTTTTGTCATCTTGGTTAATTTCTATGGATTCTATAACTGGCCATTTTTCTTAGATTTTGTTTGCAAAACCACTCTTTCTGATGAAGTAATCTTGAGTTTCCACAAATGCAGACAGGGATCGCTCCACAGTCACCAGGTGGTAAGTCAGAGGCTCCAGAACCTCTCTGGAAGCCAGCTCCATGCTTCTCAAGTGCCTTTCGAGTTCTTCCGAGTGCTGCGCCTGTCCGCGGTGGCTGCATTGCTTCCTAACCACTGACTGCACGGGCACGGCCTGTGCCTGTGCTCCGGGAAGCACCTCCCTTCCTCACCACCTCTTATCAGTCACAGCCAGCTCAGTCGGCCAGAGGACTGCCAGCTTGCGAGGAAGTCAGGGCTAGAGTAAAAGCTACGGCCTCGGAGTCCAGCGGAGGGGGATTCGCATCGAAGGCCGCCTCCCTGGCCTTGCAGCCTTCCACAAACAGCCTGCGGCGTTCCTCGATAGCTCGGAGCAGTCTGACTGGGACCAGGGGGCACCTGTCCAGGTATTGGTGGAAGAGCTGCTGCTGATTAACTCCTAAAAAGCCAAGCTGCCCTGGAAGGTTTGGCACTGACATCGGGCCTGGGGCGAGGCCCGGGTCGCGCCTGTGAACCGGGCCGAGCACCCGCGCCATGGGCTGGGCGGCTCCGGCCACTGGCCTTTCCTGGGCCTCCTGAGCCCGACTCCTGCCGCCTACGCCAGCCTGTAAGACGTGGCTGACGCCATTCATTGGGTTCATCTCGGACATCTCGTACCGCTGAACCCACTCCACCAACGCCAGAGCGTTTACACACACACACACACGCACACACAAAACGGTAACGGGGTCGAACGCTATTTGAGGGTCGTGCGCATGCGTGAGTGGCGGTGTGCGCGTGCGTAGAGTGAACACTCTCCCTAGCGCCCCCAGCGATCCTGGATGCTATTACGGCAGTAGCTTCCTGCTGTATTTTAAATTACAAGTTCAACACTCATGTGAATATTGAGGAATAAGATCCTTTTCCAGGTCCCATCTTAATTGAACTCTGCAGATTTTAATTCTGCAAATTTGAAGCAATCCTTCTGTTGCTTTCGGGAACCTCCTCTTGAGAATTGGTCTCCTGCTTCATAGGCGCCTCCTTTTTGTCTACTCTGAAAAATGAACCTCTAGGTTCATTGTTAGGCTGGTGCTGTTTATGTAGACAGACTTTCAGGTGACCCCCAATGACTTTGACTCCTAAAATTCATACCTTTTTTGTGTATGTATTCATATGTTTCTGCTGCGTCAATGTCTCTACCAACACCATGAGCATCCCACCAGGTGACCAAGAGCACCAGTGTAATAACCTTGGTTCCTGCCACACGTTCCCCTTCGTATTTCCCTGGCTATGACCTAATAACAATCAAAGGTACCCATGAAATCCCTTGCTCATTTTCTTGTGTGGTCCACCCTGGCTCCCAGTAAAGGCTCTTGCCCACAGGTCATCCGGTTCTCTGCTTCCCTCCTGCTTGGTGGATCAGGCTCCCTCTGCACTTCTTTCATGAGACCTCCTTGTCACCACGCAGTGACTCTTGTCTTTCTAGGACCTGTGAGTGTAATAAACTGTTTTCCTGAGCCTCTCCCATGCTACTTCATTTGACAGCACCTACCTGATCATCATCTCAAAAAACACAGAAGAGTATATGTGAGATCAATTATGGCAAAAGTGATGGGATGCCACTTGTGATTCTTAGCCTATGTAATTAGAGACTTCCTTGATGACCTTTAAAAAGTAGGAGGTTGCTGGTATGGTGGTGCATGCCTGAAATCCCAGTGATTTGGGAGGCTGAGGCAGGAGGATTGAAAGTTTGTGGCCAGCTTCAGCAACTTAGTGAGGACCCTAAGTAACTTAGTGAGATGCTGTCTCAAAATAAAATGGGATTCAGTGGTAAAGCACCCCTGAGTTCAACCATGGTACCCCCGAAGTAATAAAATAATAATGATGATACCAGGACTAGGGTTGGAGCTCAGTGGTTGAGCATTTGCCTGGCATGCATGAGGCACTGGATTTGATCCTCAGCACCAAATAAAAAATAAATAAATAAAGATATTGATTGTGTCCATCTACAACTAAAAAAAATATTTTAAAAAAATGATGCCATGTCCAGTAAAGGTATAGCTGGGATAAGAGCTCCAGTTGGAATCACCATCTGATCAAGTTTATGATTATGCAGTCATTCTTCCAGATCCATTCTTTCTTCTACACAGGTTGAGTTAAATGGGGATGTGTCAGGTACCACACCTATGCTTCTTTGAAGTCTTTGATGGTGGCATCAGTCCCCAAAATTCTTACAGGGATGTAGTTTTTCTTTCGCTCACTATATTGGAGGGGAGTGAAAGTTCTAGGGGTTTCCAATTGGCCCTTCCCACCCTAATGTGTGCATCAGCAGCCAATGTAGAGAATCTTCCATTTGCCAAGTGTTTATATTCCAATTATATATTCAGACACTGAGAAAATGCCTATATTTGATCAGCTGGTCCTATTGTGATTTGAACCTTTGCTAAGACTCCATCTATCACCTGACTATCATAAGTCTCCACTTTGAGTGGTTCCTCCATATTAGCATCAATTCAGAGCCAGTATCTAGAATTATCAAAAGGTCTAGGTATTTCCTTTTCCCCAAATGCACTGTCACTCTAGTAAATGATCATGGGTCCCAGTGGTAAAGATTTAGATGAAGTTTTATGGGGTATACCTTGGCAACAGTGCAAGGTCTTTCCTCAAGGGGACCTGATCTCCTACTCAATCAAGATTTCTGGGCCTGTGAATTGGCTTAGGTTTGGAAGTAGAGTAAGAGTCTTTCCATTACAGAGGACACCCAGCTGGTGTTCACTACAGTACTGACTGCTTGCTTGCTGTTGGAGAGAAATCCCCTAATCTTTTGAGGCCACAGAACTGATCTGTGTTGTTAGGGTACAGTAGGAGAAATCGAGTCACAGTTTGTTTTTTTCCAACACTCTTCCCATGAACATCATACTAATATTACCACTGTTCTCACTGTTTAACCAGTCACTAGGTACCAGGCATAAAACACCATACTTTGTTTTTGTTTTTTGGCACTGGGGATTAAAACCACAGACACTTAAACATTGAGCTAGATCTCCAGCTTTTTTTTTTTTTTGTGTGTGTGTGTGTGTGTTGGGATTGAACTCAGGGGCACTCGACCACTGAGCCACATGCCCATCCCTACTTTGTATTTGATTTAGAGACATCATTTCACTGAGGTGCTTAAGGCCTCACTAAATTGCTGAGGCTGCCTTTTAACTCGCAATCCTCCTGCCTCAGCCATTTCAAGCACTGGGATTACAGGTGTGCGCAACCGGCCTGGTATATCAGAGCTTCTCAACTAAGAGTTCGTGAGCCCCAAGGAGTCAATGGATAGAATTCAAGGCAGCCATGAACCAGGGTGGAAAAATATTACATGTTTATTTTCACTCAATTCTGAAATTTAGCAATTCCATCATCTCTTCCCTAGATTTTTATAGTAGCCTCCTACACTGCTGTCTGCAATCTAATTTTTTTTTGGGGGGGTACCTGAGATTGAACCCAGAGGTGCTTAACCACTGAGCCACATCCTCAGCTCTTTTTAGTATTTTATTTAGAGACAGGGGCTCACTGAGTTGCTCAGGGCCCTGCTAAGTTGCTGAGGTTGGCTTTGAACTTGAGATCCTCCTGCCTCAGCCTCTGGAGCCGCTGGGATTACAGGCATGCACCAACATGCTCAGCTGCAATCTAATTTTTTTTTTAATATTTATCTTTTAGTTGTAGTTGAACACAACACCTTTATTTATTTATTTACTTACTTATTTACTTATATGTGGCACTGAGGATTGAACCCAGGGCCTCACATGTGCTAGGCGAGTGCTCTACCTCTGAGCGTAATGATTATTTTAAAGGTCAGATAGCTCCCTCTTAACTCATTTCACTCAGAATAAAAGCCAAATTTCTAACAAAGGTCTATAAGGCATGTATCAACCTTAAAGAAAAGTGGGACAGTCATTCCAGTGAATTATCAACCCTGAGAGGGATGATGGGAAACCCCAAATTTGTAGTTTGCTGAGCAGAAATGTGGGTAGCTTGAGCATCCCATTTGAGACTTGCATCTGATAACAGGGCAGTATTGTGGGATTGGGGGCGGGGCTTCATTAACTGCAGACAGTGTGAGAATTGACTTGTAAGACACCCAGTGGTGTTGGAGAATTAATGTACAAAAATACATTTAGTGGCAGAAGTGCTATCAGGAGAAAAACTTGGTTTTTAAATAGAGAATAATATCATTTTAAAATAGTAAATGCCTCCTTTCTGTTTCCCAAGAGCTATCCATGTTAAAGTAACAATGAAAGCAAGCCTGGGCCAGAAAGTCCAGATACATACTATCTTAAAGGACATTGGTGTTCTCTCCTGCAGGCTTCTGTAGAAAGTTACTTTCTTGGAAGTACATGGGGACAACTGGTCCTTGGGATGCTGCTTATAAAAGCAAACAAGCTAATGCTGATAATGTCACTGCTTCTGCAGCTTAACAAACAAAACTCTTGAGTGGGCAGGATGTGGAACTGAGGGCACCAACCTAGGTGTGTCCATCAATGGATGAATGGATAAAGAAATGTGTTGAGGTGTTGGAACTTCTCAGAGGTGGGGCATAGTGGGAGGCCCTTTGATCAACTAGGGGTGTGCCCTCATTATGAATACTTCATTAAAAGTAGATTGCAGGGCTGGGGTTGTGGCTCAGAGGTGTGCCCTCAGAAGAGACTGCAGAACCCTAGCTACTCTTTTGCTTCGTGTCTGGTCATGGGACAGCTTCCTCCCACTGCCATCCTCCATGATGTAATGCAGCCAGAGGGCACTCATCAGAGCTGAGTCATGACAGCACCATGCCCTTGAACCTCCCAAACTGTGAGTTAAATAAACCTTTTCTTTATAAAATTATCCTGCCTCAGCTAGGTGTGGTGGCTTTTACCCATAATCCCAGCAACTTGGGAGGCTGAGGCAGGAAGATTCCTCAGCAGCTTGGTAAGGCCCTGTATCCAAAAAAAAAAGGAGGAGGCTGGGGATGTAGCTTAGTGGTAAAGTGCACTTGGGGGTTCAATTCCCAGTACCCAGAAATAAACAAACAAATAAACAAACATTATCCTGCCTCAGGCATTTCATTATAGTAATGAAAACAGACTAATACAGGATACTCAACCTGTATTACAGTTTCCTATAAAGGACACCACTCAGAATAGTTAAATGGAAGAGATGCACAGGGTTAAGGTGTGGGGGTGAGGGATGCACAGGGCTTCCATGCCCACTTTGGGAAGTCCCGTCCAGCATGATTAACTCATTTGCAATTGGTGATTAACTGAATCTCTAGCCCCTCTTCCCTGGGAGATTGGGGGCTGGGCTGAAAGTTCAAAGCTTTAATGAAGGCTTGGTCTTTCTGGCATCCAGCCAGGAACCAGTGACAAAAACCACACAGGTTTCTCATTATATCACAAAGGGTCTTTTAACTTGAGGAGGAAATGAATTCTCACCTGGTGTTTGCTCCTTTTGGTCCCAGGTGACTTGTCCCTTGCAGGAGAAATGGAGGGATTTTTGTCCTCCTTTCCTTGCAGAATAGGAAAGGGCAGATCTTGGAAACAGGAGGAAATAGGAACCATTTAGTCATTTTCATTAGCAGGCAGAGAACTGTTCTCCCTTTCTTTTTTCCTAAGATTTCAAGCATTTTCTTTTCTTTCTGGGAATTTCCTTTCCTGGGTCTTCCTTTCAATCCCTAAATATAATAGATCCTTTCCCACAATCCTATTC